CCGAGTTCAGAGGGCTTTGAAGACCAAGATTGTGAACTTTTACATAAACGAGAAAGCCACTGAAGGTTTGGTTTTAAAAGCAGGATGATGACCTGGTGACATTTGTGATTTGGAAGGCTCAATCTGGCCACATGTTGGAAAAGGGCTGACGGGGAGCGTTAGGGGACAGGGAGGCCAATTAGACTATTGCTGATATCTAGGTAGGAAATGATGGTGACCTAGATAACACTTCTAGGGAAGTGACTATAGGGATGAAAAAGTACCAGAGGACCAGAAAGAGAACCAGAAAGAAACGGGATATTTTGATACTTTAGGTGGGTGTGTTTTACCCCCTTAACTGAAAAATAAATAACATCAAGGATTCCGAAAGTCTTCTCATCATTCCTGCTGCTAGCTTCAAGGGGGGCTTCCTTGTAGGCTTAGCAGAAGGTGGAAGATAAAGCGGTCCCTTGTCATTTAAAGGGCATCATTTCTTTTGAAAAGCTTAGCCCTTCTCTAACCCTTAAAATTACATTATTTTGGCTCTAGCAAATGCCTGGTGTGAGTCCTTCCAGAGGGAACTGTTAATGTCACTTGGGTTCTCTGAATTATTGATGAGCTTCGGGGTTTGTGGAATTAATGAGCTTCAGCAGTGGGTAGGGATGGACATATTGCTTTAAGAAAGTCAGCAAGTCACCCCAGAGGAGCCTTCCTCATACTGGCTAATGGGGGTGTGATTATCCCAGAAGCAAATTGCTAGATGAGAGCAGACCTCATTCAACCAACAGGTACTCAGGGTCCCTCTGAAACCCTGAAACTGATAGGACAGTGCAGATCCTCAGGGCATAAGTGGGTCCATTTAAAGAAACTGACGGTGGATAAAGTGCCCGTGATTTCCCATGTAGGGCTTTCCCTCCTGGAGAACACCTGTTTCTCCAGGCAGTTTCAGAGCAGCTCAGGATGTGTGCTCGGGGCACTGAGGGCTAAGATGCGCTCACTAGAGCAGGGCTTCCCACAGTGGAATGGAGCATCCCACGTTTCTGTAAATGGTTACAGGGGAGAGTTCTGAGGTTAAAATGGAAAAATGTCCTCATAATCTAATCAGGTTTCTTTATTGTAGGACTTTCAGAGCCTTTACTATATTAACATTGAGTGTGACTTTCTAGGATAAGACAGTAGGATGCAATGTTTCCCAAACTTATTTGATCTCAGAAGCTTGTTTTTTTATGACCTCAGAGAACTAGTAAAATTCACACTGAGACATACTTTTTGAGATAGAAGACCCACTTTAAATTTTTTCTGGAACAAAGTAGGGTGAGTAGAATGTAAAATTCTTCAGATAAGGGGATATATGGCATCTCTGTACACCCCAGAACACAAGCCTGACATCCAGTCAAGTTTGTTGAAATTAAGAACAAAATCATCAAAGTTGATGTTGCTTTGACCTTCTTCCTGGGTTGGTTATACTGGAAGGAACTAACAGGCATCTCATTCAAACTCTCATTTTATGGATGAAGAAATTGAGGCCAGAGAGGAAAAGTAACTATCCCAAGGTTCCACAAGTTAGTCAGACAGTAGGTATCAGAACCGAGGTCTCCTGCTCCACTCATTGATTCATTGCAGCAAATATGTATTGAGGATCTGCATGGCATGAATTAGGCCCAATGTTGCTTTTATGGAGTTTACATTCTAATGAAGGGAGTAAAGCATTAAACTAATTGCAGAATTAGTAACATATATGCTTGGGACAGTTGCTCTCAAGAGAAGGACAAAGTGCTAGGAGAGAATGAAATGGTGGCCCCAAACCCATCTCGCTGCTTCCCATGTGGATCCTCATGTCACTGGGCTTCTCTGACTGAGGTCTCTTTCGCAAGGTTTGTATTTATGAGGACCATAGTTTTTGACCCAAATGTTGACATAGTTTGACAAAAGGTTATTTTCTGGTTTGTGGATTTCTTAGTGTAGTAATACAACATTAAAATAAATAAACTCAATAATAATATTAATAATAATAGCAGCTATCTTTTATTGAATACCTACTTATGTTACCCACTGTGCTAACTAGTTGACATCCATTATTTCATTAATCTTCTCAACAACTCTTTGAATTAGTTATTACCTCCATTTTACAGATCAGAAAATTGAGGATTAAAGAGTTAAATAATTTGCCAATCATCCCACATATAGTAAGTAAAATGGTGATGCTGGGATTTGAACTGAGGTCTGTCCAGCTCCAGAGTCCACACACTATTACAGCACATGTTTTTTTTTCAATTAGGATTAAATATTGTGAAATTGGAACTGCTTTAAAAATTTAGGATCTGAAATATATAACAAAAAGTTATTTAGTTTAGAAATAACAAATGTAAGGTGTGTAGCACAGTGGCATAGACCTTGAGTGTATAGCAACTGTCATTGTCATTACTGTCCTGAAGGATCTAAATCAGGGATTGGCAAACTGTAGCCCATAGACCAAATTTGATTCATCACCTGCTTTTGTAAATAAAGTTTTATTGGAACACAGCCATGCTTATTCATTGATAAATTGTGTGTGGCTGTTTTCAAGCTATAATGGCAGAGTTGAGTAATTACAACAGAGACATTATGGCTTACTCGCCTAAAATATTTATTATATGGAACTTTATTGAAAAAGTTTGCTGACTCTGATCTAGATACTTGCCTCAGTTTACTATTGTGCCTTTCTGTGAGCCCAACCTGAGGGCTCACAGATATTACTAAAAATAGGAGGTAAAGGTAAATAGAAGATTCAAATTTTGTGTTCGAGCTATAAGTCAGGCTGTGTTTATCATGCATAATTATCTTATTTAATTCTCCCAACTATCCCATTTTAAAAGTTGTCTGAGGCTCAAAGAATTAAATAATGCCCAGGTCCTACAGCCGCTGAGTGGTAGAGCCAGCCTTTGATATGGTTCCCAAGCTTGTGCTACTGCACAAGAGATGTTCTTTGCATCTTACAAGGGGCTACACCTTAGAGCAAGAGAAAACAATATATCACCATTCTTAAAATTTGGACCTTGTTTCTTCCAAGACTGATTTCAAATACAAATGAGGCCTAATTAACAGGAAGTTCCAGCCAGCTAGACACGAATTTGAATGGGACTCATTGGAGAATGAGGGAGCCTGTAATTGTTTAGACCAGGAGGGGTGGCTGATGCTGGCTAAGGAGTTAGAATGCCTGGGTGGTCATCTGCGCGTCACAGCACTGCGCCTGGGCTTTTACAGCTGCTTCCCCCACCACTTTTGGGTGGCAATGCTGGTGTTTCTCACCTTTCCCAACAGGCTTCTGCTGTGCAAAGGCCACATAGCCTACACTTGCTTCTAAACTTCTAATCTCTCCTAGGCTTGGCATGCACACTCAGTAAATGGTTCTTCCTTTGAATGGAAAAGACAGTGGCCAGGTTGATTGATTGGTTGCTGTGTTGAACATCTCATATAAATGAGCATGTTCTTTTCTTTTACGTTGCAATAACAGTCAACTATCAAAAGTCCTTGAAACACTAAAGTTTTAGATTCTAATTGATTGGCCATTTAGTGAGTGTCTACCTTAGCCTCGGTCTTGTAGTGGACAGCTACATTCACATTTGTCCCATTTAAGAAAAACAGGTCGATTCTCAGTTATTTCAGGGCAGAGAATTCAGTTTGTAGCCAGACTTGTAGCCGTGTGCTGCTCATAATACTAAATTAAGTGTTATAGATGACAGAGTGTTTTCCCAGCATACCTTTCCCTGAGACTGAGCAGAGGCAGAGAGAAGACACGGAAGGCGTGCCAGTGAAAGGTGGTTTTTTTTATAGCTCCTCTGAGAAAGGCATCAGCGGGATTGTTAAAATGGGGACTTGAATGAAAACCACATAACTTGGCAGATTCTCAGACATAGATTTCTGAGCCCACACACTCAGAGAGAAGGTCATCAAACACCTGTAAATCTATTTGAATAGTAATAAAAACTCCCCACCTTATGATATATTCAAGGCAGAACCAAGGCAGAGTCTAAAAATGGCCTGACCCTTCTTGATGAAATCATCCACAGCCCTCTCAGACAGATGGCCCTCCTGTGTTAGGTTCCCACCATACTCTGTACATCTCCCTTAGGGCACTTAGCAATGAAATATTTTGCTTACACAAATCTGTCTCCTTTGATAAGCTACATGCTTCTCAAGAATAAGAAGTAGGTCTTATTCATCTCTGTTCCTCCAGTGCTAGCCCAGAGAAGATGCTTAATAAGTGACAGACAGGCAAACAGATGTCCAGATGAACAAAGTTAGGGGAGGGCAGGCTGCCCGTTTCTGCATTTGCAATTGCTGACAGCCCTGGTTAGTCTCTCTTGTGTCAGTCACCAGGGCTCCTCTGGGTGTATAGCCCTTCTTAGTGGCTGCAGATAAGATGGGAAGAAAAAGACCCAAGGACGCCTCCTCAGAACAAAGACAGTTGTTTAGGAGAAAACAGGACAAAATAATTGAAAAGCCTGAGGTCCAATGCAGCTGATCTAGTAACAAGAGCTGGAAAAAGGTGCAGCCTCTAGAATGAGACCCAGAGGTTCCGAGGGGGTATGAGGAGTAAACAGAGAGATGATTTCTTTGTCCCAAACAGCTGCCAGAGACAGGAAAAACAAGAGTGAATAAGGAGCAAGAATTGGGCAGAAAGCTCCATTGGTCAGATTCCAACAGGCCCACGTCCACCGACTCTCGCTGTAGAATCCTGATCACTTTTGAAAGAGGAGATTTTAGATGCAGAAGGTGTGGGTTTCAGACCTATTCCTGCCACTTCCTAATTGTGCCACCTCCTGGTTGTGCAGCCTTAGCAAGTTCTCCACCTCTGAATCTGGGTTGCCTCTCAGTGAAGTGACAGTTCCTAATGCTACTGGCCTCCCTGGGTGCTGAGGGCACCGATGTGCTGATGGGATGTGAAAGCATTTTATAAGTTGGCAGGCGGAGTGTGAATGTGTGTGACTGCAATGGGCCATGGACGATCCGACCTCAATTCTATGTGCTTTGCTTTGCAGAGGGTTGCCCTGGGTTGTGCAATGGCAATGGCAGATGCACCTTGGACCTGAATGGGTGGCACTGTGTCTGCCAGCTGGGCTGGAGAGGAGCTGGCTGCGACACATCCATGGAGACCGCCTGTGGTGACAGCAAAGACAATGATGGAGGTAAGGCTGTGGCACCCATGAGCTCTGGGGTGGGGGGAGACTCAGGGTGGAGTGTGGGCATTATTACTGAGTTAACAGGCCACCAGTACACCATCTGGCTAGTCAAGAAGGCCTGCAGGGCAGGCATAAAATTGTACATGTGGTCAGGATGAGCGCATATCACTAGTTGTTCCATTTGAATTAATTAAAAGTAAGTAAATGAAATTAATTGCCATCCGACAGCAAGTGCGCAGGAGAAGGCATATGGAGGACAGAATTTTTCAATTCAATAGTGAATGAGTTGCCCAATAAAGCTATGAGAACCCCCTCACTGGAAGTGCACAAGAAGAGGCCATCCAATCCTGTATCACAGGAGGTGGCAGAAAGGATGCTTCTCCAAGGTTGAGTTACCTTTTCTCTTCTGTTCCTCACCAAGCACACTGAGGACCACCTTCTGCCCCTGTGGGTTTGTAATAGAATCTGTCTTTGCTGTTGGATTTTTTCTATGTGCTAGATAGTCAAAACCCTAAGGAACAGAAGCCTAGTCTTGTGGAACATTTATTACCTAAGAGTGAAGCTCTAACCCCAATTCTTTGACTGCCTGTGTAATTGTAAGCAAGCTGCTTGATGTCTCCGGGCCTCATGCTTCCCATTTCTAGAATGAAGCTATTGGATCATGAGGACCATTCCAGTCCTTACATTGGTGCTAGAATTAGCCTTTATTTCTCTGTTGTGTAAACTTGGATAAATACAACCATGATGTGGTCTACTTTCCCAGGAATATGGACTGATTCTTCCTGACTCTACCTGTCTTTGGAGTTATAAGGAGAATAAAAAGATAGAAAGATGAAAAAAACTGAAACAGTTAACCCTTCTTTTCTAATGATGACCTAGTTGGCCTGGTCCAGATGTGTTTATGCAGCTCCCTCATATTTATGCTAAGGGGCTTTCTAGTATACAGAAGAATAGGAAATCAACAGGCCAGAAACTTTGTATGCCACCCTTTGGGAATTTTCTACTTAGAGTGATTCTATAATCTCAGTGCACCATAAGGATTAAAAGGCCAATTGTGTGTTATTGTGATTACTCTGGTTCATTTGCCTTGAGTTGGCTGTAGCAAGCTGGAAAGGGCTATTTCAGACTGCTGGTCTTTATCTGAGCCAGCTTTCATTCCTTCTACCTGCAGCCTACATCCAGGAAGTGATTGGGCCTGTCCACCCAGGCCTGGGCCCATGGAGTAATTGTCAACAGTAGCTCATGGGGCTGGGCCTTGGTTGCCAGGAGAGACAGTGGGTCCATGTTCTCTTCCTGTGGGTTTGTAATAGAATCTGTCTTTGCTGTTGGATTTTTTCTAAGTGCTGGATAGTCAAAACTCTAAGGAACAGAAGCCTAGTCTTGTGGAACATTTATTACCTAAGAGTGAAGCTCTAACCCCAATTCTTTGACTGCCTGTGTAATTGTAAGCCTGTGTAATTGTAAGGTGTCTTCCTGACACCTTATAGGAGTGAAATATCCTGTAATCCATCAGAAACTTGAGTTCATTAGTTCCGTGCTCCATAAATACCTAGAGTTCCTATTGTGGGGCTGGGCCCTAGGCACAAAGATGAAGAAGTCTTGTCCCTGCACTTCAGGAATTCAAATGAGGAAGAAGGACCCAAAGTGAAGTGCTAATGGGCGGTCATAAGGGAGGTTGTAGAGTCATATATTGGTCATTGTGGGAATAGGCAGGCATTCATCAGGAAGGTGACACTTGGGTAGATCAGCGTTTCTGGAAAGGAAAGGGCTTTCCATTCATTGAGATCATGATGGCAAAGGAAGGCAAGGGCACCAAGTGTCCCTTGGTGATATCGGTGGTCTTCTGGCAAGATAAAGTGCAATAATATTTGCTCTTCATAGGAAAGAGATGTTAACCTAAATTATCTGCATAATTTGTCCAACAGTCCCCTTCATTTCACCTGTGTAGACACAATTCCAGTGACCAACAGGAACTTCATGTAATAGAAGAGAAGGGCAAAGGGGCAGCCCCAGGAAGTCACTCTCTTCTCAAGAGTCCAGGATCTTGGCCAAAGCCTTCAAACAGCTATTAAACATCTGGGTAGCAGCCAAACTGAATGTCCTTGAGAAATGTGGGGAGAGGGTGCATCTCCCCAACAGCACACATACAAAAATAGGTTATTAGACAAGGTTCTCTTATTCTCCCACGTGAAATGCAATCCCAGTATACCCTCTGTTTACTATCCTTCAAAGCCAGCCTTCCCAGCACTAGAACTCACCCCGCACAAGAGTGAGCCGTGTTTAGCTGTGGACTGTCTACATGGGGGAGCCCATAGCCCCACAGCTTGGGTGGGAGAAAGAGCTTCTTGTCATGGGAAACGGGGCTGATCCAGACCCCAGGGGAACAGGGCCTCCTCCAGCTCTGAGAGATGAATGGCAGGAGCTAGAAAAGAACAATCAGAAAATCCCCACATTTTTTATTAAGGAGAATATACCTCTTACATTTATGAAGCATGTGATGGGCCTTTACTTTGTAGAAAAGCCATATAACAGCATGGTCACCTGAGATCATTCACTCATTCAACAAATGTTAACTGAATGTCTACTCCACAGCTGGTCCTATCCTGGCTCCTGGGGCTTCAGAGATAGTCCCTGCCTTATGAAATTCACAGCCTGGAGGGAGAGAGGAACGGCACCCAGTAGCAATGCAGGGGGGTCGTTACTGCAATGAGGAGGCATCCACTCATTTAGCTGCTATCATCAAATGCCTGGATGCCCCACTGGGAACTTGCTGTGGTCCCACTCCTCTGAGCCTTCCAGTCTAGCCGGGAGGACAACCCATGTGTCATCATGATTGGGAAAACAACCAGCTGGGGAGACCAGATTATTGAGGGAGCTTGGCCTTGGGTTCTCAACTGTGAAATGAGGAAACCTGTCACCTCAGAGCCCTCTCGGCTTTGTGGGCTCTCCACCCTTTGGGGGAGCCAAGGGGTCTCTGCTTTGCATGATGGCACAGATGAAACAACCATGCAGGTGGAGACGGGGCCATCCTCACTGGCCTCTGTCACTCTGGGTCTTGGCCAGATAGGGACGGTTTTAGTGGAGGGAGAAACAGGGCAGGCTGTGTAAGGCAGCACAAGAGTGAGCCGTGTTTAGCTGTGGACTGTTTGCAGTGCAGACAAGCACACTTTCGCTGGGCTCCTGCTGTCTGCAAGTCACCGTGCTCCTTTCTGACGGGCTATAAAACCAATGATCATGGCCTAGTCTTTCTCCCTCAGGAAGCTCGCAGTCATTTGGAAGAAATGTTATCCAAACCACTACATCTAATGGAGGCAGAATGAAACAAGTGCCTTCATTTCAGCCATGATGTGGGCCGCACATCCCAAATAAATAACTCAGGGTGGAGGGAAGAAGTGTTAGGGACTCACTGAATGATTATTCTTGGCTGATCTGACTCGGGGCCCTGGAAAAGGAATTCGAAGAGTTTAATGTTGAGTGACAGGACTGGAAGAGACAGAGAACACCGACTTCAGCTCCCTCCTCCTACTCCCCGGCATGTTACAGACAGGGAAGCAGGAGCCCAGAGAGGGAATGTGACATCATACATGTCCAAGTCACACAGAAAGTCACTAACATGGCCAGACTGAGACCCAAGCCATTCCACGTGGCCCTGTGAACCTAGAGCTTTCCCACCTCCTAATGATTGATTTACTGTCCTCCTCCTAAAAATGTAGCATTTACTTGAATTGAAATAGGCTATGACAGTATCACAAAGCCAAACAGAATGAGAATGATGACTTGTATGTCATTTTGCAGTTTGCAAAGCAATTGTGCATCCAACAACATCACCAGGAGGCATGCGGTATTATTACCCCCTTCCTATTCCCAGGGCTTAGGGAGCAGCGCATTTTGCCCAGGTCTCATACAGCCTGCAGGAGGCAGACCCTGCCGCAGTCTGAGGCCTGGCCACATTAGAGCTTTTTCATGTGCCCAGACTTCAGAAACCCAACTGTGGTCCTTTGAGCTATGTGAGAGCTCCCAGTTTCTCTTCTTTCCCAATTTGCTAGGCTTAAAGCAATTCTTTCCAAATTAAACTTGAATTTCAGGCTTCATTAAGAATGCAGTTGCTGTGTTTTTAAACTCTGAGGGGGAAAAAAGTTACACAATGTGACTGAGTTGGGTTTAGCTGTATTGGTTTGTTTTTGTTTATGATTGTCGTCTAGTTTTAAAAACAAGAAACAGCTCCTAAAAGGGACTCAGTGGCTCCCAGCCTCCTGATTCTCTGTCAGGACCACCCAATCTTGAATGCCCCTAGATTTTACCCCGGGCACAGGTGGGGAGAGGGAGCAGCAGGGCAGGCAGGCACCGAGGTCCTGGCTCACCACGGTGAACCCCTCAGTGTGCCCCACTTGATGAAGAAGGTGTGCCCTATTCCTATTGCACCCCTTTATTAAGACCTTTAATCTTCTCATCTGTTACCCACAGACCTTCCGATAGGGATGCTCCTCCCATGCCCATTACAGAGACGGTGAAACTGTGCCCAAACATGCTGTCTATAAAATAAGGGTACTAATGCCTGCCTTGCAGGGTTGCTGTGAGGATTAAGGTGATGTATTTAAAGGGCCTGAGAGGTAAGATAACAGTGATTAAAAGTGGAGGATCTGTACCCAGGTTGGATTCCTGGCTCCCTCACTGGCTGCATGACCTTGAGTGAGTTACTCAACTTCATCACCTGCAAGCGTCGCTTCTCTTTCTCCTGCTCCTTGCCACCCATAATCACAAGAGCATGATGTTTATTACTAAATAAATATTCATATATAAACAGTCATTCTTAAACATTGAAATTATGCTCTCTTTAAAATTTTATAATCTACTTTTTTCACTTATGCTCACACTGTTTTTCTCCATATAATGTATTTTAACCTCTTTTATCTCTGGATTAAAATTTATATTTCAAACTCTTATATACTCATTGCTAAAGGGGGAAAATCAAATGTACAAAAAGGAAAATAATAGCCATACTGTAG